AATGCTGTCCGCAAATCGTAGTTCGTAGACACAAAACTCGACATGTTTATGATTATAGAAAAATATACCGGTGTTTGGAACTTGTGTTGTTGTGTGTTGAAAATCTTTGTCAGCTGTTAGAGGGAGATGATGGCGCTGCAGAAGCGGTCTTACGCTCCCTAAACTGATGGCTAGCACCATCTATAGGGAAATTCCGGTTTCGTACTTCTACACCTGGTATACGTAATAGATTTGGAACAGATATGATTTGGACAGTTTAGATTTTGGATAAAACTGAACTACTGTTAATAATTTTCTCTTTTTTTTCCTTCCCCTATCCGTTATTACCCTAAGGAATATATTATTGTAAAATAAGATAAGGCTGTGTCCGTCAGCTGAAGAGATGGTTTCGCCTATTAAAATCACGTCGAAATTCGATATTCTCGGTGAGCGAGATGTTTGCATTTTACCGATGCGAAAAATTCTAGAGACGCTACGAATATACCGCCCCATGTTAATATGACATTTCTTGTTCCTTTTTGCATTACGAACAAAAACAATTTCTGTGTTCGAAACGGTGCCGTTTACCATGGTATAGTGTAGCTGCAATTTTTTTTGGTAAGGTTAATATATTAATTTGTTACAATCTTATTTATTGTTTTTAATAAGTTAAATAGAACTGCACCTTAATTCCAGAAATATATTTTATTATAAATTTTATATATTATCCGTTAAAATAAGTAATCTCTTAAATTCTAGTCCGATACAGTTAATGTTTTTAATAAGATAGTAAAAGATATATAAAAAGAAAAAAAAATTATACTTTAATTATAGTAATAATTAAAATATTAAAAAAATAGTACAATTAATTTCAAAAAATACTTCCAAAGTTTTGAACAGCTTTATCCCGTGTTCTGTTATTTCCTGTCCGCCATAGTTAATGAGAAACATATGGCTCAAGTGAGCCACTACTATTAGTGCGAATACGATCATTTCGGTTGTGTTATGAATTAACGTTATTAGTTGAACGAACTACGGTGATACGATATCCAGAATCATCGGTAGGAATTGATATATTAAGCAAACGATTGTGGAAATAATGCAAAATATTGAAGAAACATATTAAGTGGAATTTGAATTCAGTTATTCATTCTGAAATTGTCCGTAAATAGTCTAAAGTACGTTCAAACAGAATTAATATTATTATAGAGAACGATGTTACGTATAGTAACGTAGAATATATTGCAACTAGCACTCTCTTACACATCACAATTATCGTCATAATTCTCCCGCTGCGAATGTACTTTTTCAAGATTTTAATTTCCATTTCATTCTTTAATGAGCCCCAGTAATCGTGTATTTTCTCCAGCAATTGTTTCACCTGCTAGTTTTGTATTTCTCTTTTTCTTTCTTTCTTACAAACGTTTAATATATGATTTATTTTATACGTGTTTTTGCACAAAGTGTTCGTATATATAATTCGTCTCGTTAGACATACGTTTGCCTGAATGACATAGAGGTAGTATTTTATTGTCATAAAGACATTGGGAAACATGAACGAAAGAACTTCAAAAAGGACATTAGTGCTGTATTGTGTTGTAATTAATACTAGCAACTGAAAACGACGCTAATTAGAAGACGTCGCTTAAATAAATTCCCACGAGAATTGTATGGTATTTGACGAAATTTTCGTTTTATTGCAATATAAAGAACGAAACTAAATTCTTGGGAGACCGTAAAAAATTCTGCAATGCTAGTATATAAAATTCCCGATTATTTAAAAAGTATTACGTAAAAAACGAAAAACATTGTGAGAGATACAAAGAAAAAGAAAAAAAATAACTGTGTTCAGCAGCGCTCATATTGAATGTGCACCAACTGTTTATTTGGGACCACCCGATTACTGTGCGTATACCTGCACAATGATAAATGACGTGAGTATAACAATAAACAGCATTAATAAACACATTCTGTATTCGTACTAGAGGCGACTGCTAATACGGCCATAAACCGAGCATGTTGAGAATCACTCGATTGATTTTGTAATAAGGTGCCTCGGTCGCATGCATTTCGCAAGACAGTCACGTAGTAACTGTATATTTCCAGCTTTGGTGTCCTTCCGCCTTATCTCTCTCTCTGCATATTTATGTGAATTAAAGATGATTGATATCCTCGTCCGCTGATAGCACAAAAGTGAGAGTAATTTTCCGATATCGACGATGTATTCGTGGTATAAGCATCGAAAAATTGGGCAAAATTGTCTTTATTTGTAATCAAGAGCAAAATTTTTTCTTTTACTGCGTAAAGAATATCGTTGCGCAAGCGCATTTGTAACCTTGGCTTGTTTCGTGATGAGCGACGTTTCAGTCTTGTTCGGTCCGGCATACAACACACTGCTTGGCTTCGCTCTATTGTAATATATTGAAATATATTAGTCATCGAATACAATATATTAGATAAAGATCTTAAAACGTGTGTTGTATATTTTCGTGTTGCAGCTGATGTCTATCGGTAAACTCTGTAATAGCGTGAGAAGAAGTGTAGCACAACAATTAATAAAACTACGGACTTACTTTGTATCTCTTGCGTTTTATACACGCAAAGTCGACGAGGGGGCGAATGGCTATATTTGTTTGGCTTGCGAAAAGGTAATTTGTTTGTGGCAATGATATCATTCATATTCTCGCATTTGTTTTCACTATATTTTGGATTACATTCGACTTACATGGATTATATTCGACTGCCGTAGAGATTATTTTAATTCGGTGATTGTAACTAGTTATTAAATATATTGGGGCAAGATATAAAAGTCGTATTCTCAGATATTTTTGCAGCATGTTGAATCGTAAGTAAAATAAAATATAGCGAACATAATATATTAAATTTATAGCTATTTGCGTATATATACGAATACTTGTAAAGAATGTAAGGAATTGGGCAGAGCAGTCGTTTTGATTTGATTTATTGATCTCGTGGTAGTGTATAATTTCAAATATCATATTGTATAGTGTGGATATATCCAAGTTTACAGAGAATGAAAATTTTTATAATACCCAAGTGCAAACTGCTGAAATTTACTATATATACGTATATTTCTGTAATAGCTTATGTTCTCATTGGACGGTGTAAAGTACTGTGAAATACGATATTGAAAGTTTTGAAAGCTGAAACATAAAAATGTTTTCTAATTTCTTTAATGCAATGCATTGAATTCATTATATTAAGAATTTGTTATGATGCATTAGTATATGCAAGTCATCTTACCATCGTAAAACTCTCGTAAGAAATATCAAATATACCGCCAATTGGCAAATAAAAGTTCTTGCTATACTTTTGCATTAAAAATAGCAATAATTTTTGTATATTCACAGAAGATGTATACCATGGCAAACTGTACCTGTAAATTAAAGGAAACGTGTGGTTATGCGCCTTAAGGAACAACTTCAAGCTTTTACACCTTTCGTGAAATGTAAAAATCGCGAAAGTAATTGGTTTTTGTCGTACAGTATATGATCAAAGTACATTCATGTAGAAACTAGGTACAATGAAATTATCTTTTTTGTTATTTTATAATAATTCTTATCGCTATGATGTACGAGACAAATTTCTTGAGACTTTAAAAGGTGTATACTCACACTACGTTGAAGATTTCACAATTAATATTTGTTATTTGTTGACCAATGTGATTACCAAAGAATAGAAAAATGAAATGAAAGGGTATGAGAAGAGATGGTACAATCACTTCAACTACATCCTTGAATACCGTTATCGCTTTAAGAAACTACGACGTTAAATGTACGATTAATAAAATATTTACTTTGTCACTAACACATTAATATAAAAAAAATAGGTAGTGCAATATATCATATTACTCACACGGAACAGATTTATACTCAAAGACACCACGCCGATTGTAATTAAAAAGAGAAACGATCTTTGCAAATGTGTTGTTAACATTTCGCAATGCCTTCAAAAGTTAGGAAAATCTCATGTCACTCTATGCGAGATTCCGGAAGATAAAATCGTTCTATCCACTTTTAACATCACAAAATTTTACAAGATATCTTTAAGTACATTTCTCAAGAGATATTAATATAACAAAATTTTTAATATAATATTAATTTGTACAAACATACGAGGGCAGTCCGATAAGTACTTAGCCTACAGAAGAAAAACGAAAATTTTGGAAAAGTGGCGATTTATTTTTCAACATAGTCTCCTTTTAGCTCGATACACTTGACCCAGCGATG